GTCCTCTGGGAATTTAAACTAATCAGAAGTCACAAAAGGCAGAGGTTGTAGGTCTTGGATTTTTTTTAAAAAAATATTTTAGACCTACTGTATTTTCCTGTACAATTATTGTTTCTTATGTTTTGATTGATTTTCAAATTTTAAATTAGTCAGCAGTCTTTAGAAATTAGGTGATTTCCTCCTACAAATCCAGATTTCCATACTCCTTTGAAAATGGTGGCCTGCTGTGAGTCTGTGTTGGGCCTATGCCCACACGTGGAAGCAGTTGTTGGAGTGGACAGATTCTGACCTGGGAAGTGCTCCCTGAGGAGCGTGGTCAGAGCCTGAACTGGCTTCTCTGTTCTCCTGGGAGGGCAGCATCTTAGCTGGTCAATTAGGCCACGTAAGGTGGGGTTTCTTGGCTGGCTTAGTGGATCAAGGTGGTCTGAGCTCGACCCAACTGCCACCAATTGCCCCTGACATTCACACATGTGCCATAGCATGCGTGCACTCATACTCACGAACACAAAAAATAGATACGCAAATGTAAAAAAATAAAAATAGATTTTTTTCTCTTGGCACTATTGGTATTTGGAGCCAAATTATTCCTGGTTGTGGGGTACCATCCAGTGCTTTGTTGGATGCCAAGGAGCAAACCTGACCTCTACCCCACTGGATGCTAGTAGCATCTCTCATTTGTAATGCAAAATGTCTTGAAGGCATCGGACAGCGTTCCCTGGAGACAGACAGAATCGCCAGGCTCACGGTTCCTGCAAATGAACAGAAAGAACGTTATCTGACTTTTCAACAAGATCCTAAGGAATTTGCTTATCTCCTGATTAGGGATCTGAATCAGCTCAAGTCTTAGCAGCATCGCCCAGGCACCCTGGGTGTGGCTTTGAAAGTGGCTCTGTGTGACAGCCAGATGTGTAGGCTTATCCCTCCCACCTGCCTCCAGATGTGTGCAGTGCTCATTGGAATGATTCAAGTGTAAGGCTGTGGGAAATGACCACAGTGCATCTTCTTCCTTCCGAGGATTCCGTGACAGCTCTTTACCATTGCCCATCATTCACTGGGCCTGCCACCCATCACAGGCTGCCAGCCATGACAGTCTCTCAGACTTTATCCCAGTACAGACCTCATGAACATCAAGGATCTTTAGAAAATGATTGTAAAGAGCTGAGTATGACATTCTGCACAAAAATCCCAACACCTGGGAGGCAGTAGGATTATAAATTGAGATTATCTCGGGATACTTATTGAGACCCAAAGCAAAGAAAAAGATTTTCAGCCAGGTGGTGGCACACGTATTTAATCCCAGCCCTCCAGAGGCAGAGGCAGGTGGATCTCTGAGTTCGAGCCCCGCCTGGTCTATGGAGTGAGTTCCAGGACAGCCGGGGCTATACAGAGAAACACTGTCTAAAAAGAAAAATAAAAAGATTTTCAGTTATCTTTGAATCAAGAAATGCTGTGGGATGTTCTGTATGGCAAATGTGTTGCTGATTAGTCAATAAATAAAACACTGATTGGCCATTGGCTAGGCAGGAAGTGTAGGCGGGACAAGGAGGAGAATAAAGCTGGGAAGTGGAAGGCTGAGAGAGAGACACTGCCAGCCACCACGATGACAAACAGCATGTGAAGATGCCGGTAAGCCACGAGCCATGTGGCAAGGTATAGATTAATGGAAATGGATTAATTTAAGCTGTAAGAACAGTTAGCAAGAAGCCTGCCACGGCCATACAGTTTGTAACCAATATAAGTCTCTGTGTTTACTTGGTCGGGTTTGAGCGGCTGTGGGACTGGCAGGTGAGAGAGATTTGTCCTGACTGTGGGCCAGGCAGGAAAACTCTAGCAACAAAGAAATCCTCTCCCTCTGATTTTAGGGCCCCTTCCTGGAGACTACTCAAGCTTGGTAAACAGAAAATGCATTCAGGAGCCAGGGGAAATGTCCTAATATCCTCTAAATCCCTTTAGGACTACAGTGAATGAAACATATCAATTCCCTGTTTGAATTAAATGTTGACATCTCATTTTAAACAGTATTATTTGGGCTAGGGATGTAGTTCAATTGGTAGAGTGCCTGCCTAAGCTTATGGAAAACCCTGGGCTCCATCCCCAGGAGCACATTAAACTGGGTGTGGTATGATCTTGCCGATGTAGTGAGTTTAAGTTTGGGCTACATAAGATGCTGTCCAAAAAAAAAAGAAAAAAGATAAAGTGATTTCCATTATCTTTTGTGAACTTCATTCTGCAGGAGAATGAGATGTTAGGGAGAGGCATTTTAGTGGGGTAGAAGGGAGTAAAAACCAAGTAGTCAGAATATAGATGGGAGATGGGGAGCACATTTAACAATTTGGTCATTCATTGGATATATATATATATTGTGTGTGTGTGTGTGTGTGTGTGTGTGTGTGTGTGTGTGTGTGTGTGTGTGTGTGTGTGTGCTGGGCCTACATCCGAGGAAAAATACTGTCTGTCTGTTGAGTTCAGTAGGAATTAGCATCCACAATAATAGATGTAAGGTGAGACAAGGCCTTTGATCCCCACAGGGAAAAAAGGCTGGAGAGGCTCTGAAATAACGCTCTGGAAGAGACACTTGGAATGGGTGTTTCTGGACATGTGTGCTCTGAAGCCTGAGGTTTATGCCTTCACCCTGTGAAGTGTGTTCATTTCAGGAATGGTGGGATTACAAGGTTTGCAAACAGTTCACTCAAGCGTTGACTTAAATAGTTCTAATGCTGCTAAGACTCCAGGACCCCATGTGAGCTGCTCCTGCTGGCTAGAAAACAACATCAAAGGCCACCTCTTGGCTCTCTTCACAGTAAATGAAACAAGGTTTGTTTTCATTTTACCATTCACTAAGCTCCTTGGGCGCTTCATAAAGTCTCCGCCAAAGGGATGAATGCGACGTTATTAGGCCCGGGCATTGTTCCCGGGCTGTGGGAGAACACTGGCAGAGGGCCAGCGCTGCCCTGGTCTGTTCCGGTGATTAAGGAGGATTGGTGAGAAGTGTTTACAGTGAGATTGTCCCACAGCAGAGCTCCGTGCAGCTTTCCTCTCAGGTTGCGGCGGTGTCTGTGTGCCTGCCCAGGGACATGAGTAACGTGTGTGTTCTTGAATGGGAAGAACAGCAGAGCCACTTCGGATGAAGGAGAGCTCATGGGGGCAAAGAAGGGCTTGCCGCTCCCTCATTCTTTACCAAAGAGAGCAGGTGACAGAATCTCTGCAGCTCCCAAACCAGACAAGAGCCAAGCAAGCTCCCCATCTCCTCACATAGGTATTTCTAGGTATGGTCTTTTGAAACTTGGGTCGTGACGGGATCACTAAAGCCGTCCTATGGCAGTGATTGCAAAAGTCTTCATAGTTGTACATGGTTCCTAAGACACCAATTCCAGCTACATTCCTGTGAGTTAAATAGAAGTGATTGATTCTTTCTCTCACTATTTATGATGGTGTCTGCAGGAAAGAGGGACATATATTCCCACTAGGAACATCTTCCTCGTCTACTCCATCTCTGCCATTCACCTCGTAGAGAGACAACCCCATGCTCATAGCTCTGTGACTGGCTCCTTGGCCAGCTAACCCAGAGCGAGAGGGATTTTTCCGGGCTCTGATATAGTAAAGGAGTAGCTTGACTTTTTTTCTCTTGCTTTGCAGAGCAGACTCATTGTGAGGTACAGCTTCTGGGGCAGTGTGAGAAGGTGCCATGTCTTGGTCAGTCCTTAGAGCTAACTCAGTGTCTCTCCCAAGGAAGAGGTCCATTGAGATTGAGTTCAGTGATGTAGCCATAGCTGCTCACCTGTGCAACAAGATAAGTCCCTCATTAGATGTCTTCAGCAGTTGGGTGGCCCGCGTAACTGTCGCTGAGGCAGGGATTGCTGCTTGAGGAGCTCGTTAGGTCAGGGAATAGCCATGTATTATTGGTAGTCCACTGTAGGCCAGGCACGGGAGTAGGTGGCTTCAGATGTTATCTCTAGGCCTTGTACACACTGTGAGGTGTGGTCAGCTCCCAAGGACCAGGTAGGGAAGAGAAGGCTAAATAAATCTGAACTCATGTCTGTGTGAGTCTGAGTGTATAACTGGTACGTTCTCATCCATAGTTCATTCTTGTACTAAAAGTGCAAGATGGTACAGATTCCCTGTATGTAAATGTCAGAATCACCCATACAGGTTTTCACTGTGAAGGTGATGTGTGTGCTTCATATATTCAGCACCCCAGACACGTTAGAAATGTAAAGGCTCCATGGTGAGTGTATATGTGCTGAGTTTGCATAAGAGAGCGGGGTCTGGGGCGTTTAGAGGGGAAGGGAAGAAAGAAAATGTAACTGAACCTTGGCAGGCACCTCTGAAAAAGCCTTCCACTGACAGGGACCCACCATCATAATCCCTGGGCAGTGGCCCAGCCCTGTCCCCAGAAGAGCAGCAGACACCAGACTGTCTACCAAGAAGTTTAAAATAGAAGAGGGAGAGACCTATGGATGTACTGTATTTTAGGCATGTTAAATATTCCGTCTTCTCCCGGCTGCAGTTCTTGAATGTCTTGGTTTCCAAATCGCCGACTACATCTCTTTCTGTGCTGGTGGGAAGTTCATGATTCCCACCTATATGCTCACCTGTAACTGTTCTGTTAGTCTAAGTTCAGAAGCCATGCCCTTCCTAATGCAAGGTTGTGTCTTCAGATTTCATATCCCACAATCCCCTTTAGCCAGAAGCACCCAGGGGGTCATGGGAAGCCCTTTCTTCCTTGCTTCCTCCTCTCATGGTTTCCTTCAGAGTGTTGACTGGTCAGGATAAGTGGGATACACATCCTTCCTCAAGGCAGCCTCCCAGACCCCTAACTCTACCCTGTAACTGATGCTTTTTCTCTTAAGTGGCATGATGGTTTCTGGGCTATACCTGGAGCCAGGCTTGCCTGGGCTGGTAGTCGTGGGGTATATCACTCTTCCTTGCTGTTTATGGGTGCCAGGCAACTTTGGTAGGCCACAGAGTTAGGAAAACTGACCATATGCTACTGTTTGCAGCTTCCTGCTTGGTGGCCTTGGCGAGGCCCTGCTGGTTTTCTCAGAGCGGAGGAGTTCCTGATGAAGATGGGCAGGAAGAGCAAATACACGCCTTGCTGCTGGAGCAGAACACAGAACTCTGGCCTCCCTCCTGAGAGACAGAGAGACCAAGCTGAACTCGGTGTTTGCTGATGATCCGAACACCCCGCTCTCCCATTGTTCAGGGGAGGGTTTCCCAGGGGCCCCCGCACTGCTGCAGAGAAAGGGTCCATTTTACATCTTCCCATGCTGGACCGTCTCCACTCTGCTGACCCAGTTCTGCAGTCAGGAAGCAGAGGATCTTAGTGAGATGGCTGCGTCATCTGGATGGACTGTAGCCTCTGCACTAAGCCGGCCCTCCACCAGACACTTGCACAGTTGCGGTCACAGTCCCATGGAGTCTTGTTGCATTGTTCTCATGTTGTTTTGTGTCTTTACATCTTGGAGTTTCTTGTATTCTTTGATTTTTCTGGTTTACCTGGAGCCATACCACCCACAGAAAACAAGACATGTATGCTCCTGAGGGCCATGTAGGGCAGGGCAGGTGTGGGGCTGAGCAGGGGTTCTGGATCAAGTGAGACACCAGGAAAAATCTTTAGGCTGTGTTCTGAGTGGAGGCCTTTTGACTGATGATGATTTATTTCCAGCTTCTAAATTTTTCTTGGTTCTTGTGAATTTGTCAGGACGTGTTGAATTCTGTAGACTCTTGACCACCATTAGGTTAAGCTGGTGACTAACCAAACACGTCACCTGCTCCGCCTCCTGAGTGCCGAGACGGCAGGCCATTCTTTAACACATGTAATGGCTTCACATCTCAGACGAGATCTCAAGGCACTGAACACTGGGTTTTATCTCTCACACCAGATGAATGAATGAGTAAAGTCCCACACCTTACCACTAGAGAAGAAACTACTTTACACAAAGTAGTCACTTGATTCCAAATCCATTAAGGCTTAAGAAAATAATGTTTCAGTGCAGATATTTCTTCTCACTGATTTTGCAAATACTTGACTCTGGCAAGTGTCACAGAGTTTTGGTCAGACTGAGGTAACTTCACCAGCCCTGAAGTGTAGGAGACCTGTGCCATTGTTAGAGACCCTTGGGGCTCTGGGAACTTGTCCCAGGCTCAGTCCGAGGAAGAATGACGTCAGCTCCATTGTTGCTGAATGATTTTTCCAACTTGTTGGAAAACAAAGAAAATGAAACAATAGAATAGATTTATGTATTCAGAATGTGAGGATCTTTAGCTCATGTCTTTTTCTGGCCTCTGTTTATCATTTAAGGTAAAAATGTTCCAAGACTTAATGCTTATGTAGTTTGCAATTCACTTTCTTAGAGTATTTTTTAGATTGTTTGTTCTATTATTTTATATGTACTGTGCACCATGTGTATGCCTGGTACCTGTGGAGGTCAGAAGAGGGCATCAGATCCACAAAAACCGGAGTTACAGACGGTTGTGAGCTGCCATGTGGGTGCTGGGAATTGAACTCATGTACTCTGCAAGAGTAACAAATGCTTTTAACCACTGAGCCAACTCTCCAGCCCTGCAACTTGCTTTTAAAAGACATTTTTACTTTAAATTACGTGTATGTTTGTAAGTATGTGCACAGTGGGTGCCCTAAGGAGGCCAAAAGGGAATATTGGATGCCCTGGAGACGGAGTTAGAGGAAGTTGTGAGCTGCCTGAGTGGGTGCTGGTGAGTCTTGCTGGAGACAGACTCCGGACCTCTGCAAGAGGATGCTCTTACCTGCCGAGCGTGGCCCCCCAGTCTAGAACTCACTTTTGTTCTTCATCTAGTGTAGCAACTAGTGAGTATGGAGTAATGTTGTGTAGAGAGAGAACCTGGGTTTAGAATTTTCCTTTTTTAAGTTCCCACAAAGTTCTCTACTGCTTCCCCTCCCCCATTTGCGAAAGGTGGCTGTCCAAATGTCATCCTACGCCTGTCCTTCTGAATGTCATTTAAGCGGATGGAGAACCCTCAGCTCCAACCACACAGTGCTCACCCAGCCCCATCTCCAGCTGGGTTTCTTAATTCTTGGGTGTTGTCATACTGTGATGATAGGGCGAGACAGAGGAGCAGTTGCTCCTTCAATACGACGACCTGTGTCCCCTAGCTCCGTGACCTATGTCCCCCCTCTCTGTGACCTGTGTCCCCCAGCTCCGTGACGTGTGTCCCCCACTCCGTGACCTGTGCCCCCCAGCTCCGTGACCTGTATCCCCAAGCTCCGTGACCTGTGCCCCCCAGCTCCGTGACCTGTGTCCCCCAGCTCCGTGACCTGTGTCCCCCAGCTCCGTGACCTGTGTCCCCAGCTCCATCTGTGTTCTGGGCTTTGTTCTTTAAGGTGTGGTTGCCATCTTTTATTCCCCCATTCTCATGCTTAGCTCTGAATGTTCAGGGGACCCAGGGATGAGGCAGGGGCTCCCCTACCACTGCAGCACCCCTAGAGTTCTGCTGTGTGGCTCTCTGGCCCAGGGCTCCGAGGTGTCCACAGCCCTTATGCCATCTTGCCTGTTTAGATCTTAGTGCTCAGCAGCTCCATCTCTCTGTTTGTTTTCTGAGGTCTCTGTTATGTAGCCCTGGCTGTCCTGCTGGGAGTGTAGGCCAGGCTAACCTTGAGCTAGCCTGCCTCTGCCTGCGTAGTGCTGGAAATAAAGGGGCACACTACCACACCTGACTCCAGCTCCATTTCAAAACCAGGGTGGACTTTTTTTAATTGCACAAATAAAGAATATGCGTTCTTTTGAGAGAGGCAAGGTTCCATGTGATTGTGTATTAAACTATACTACTTTGGCTATAAAGAAAAATAAACCATTTATTTTCTTGGTAATTTGCCTCTGTTTTTCCTGGTTTCAGCCTAACAGGGAGAACTGTAGAAACGGTTGATGGTGTCCCTGGGAGTTCTCAGGGTTGTTGCTGCTGCTGCTGCACCTTGTTTTTAGACAGGGTCTCCTATTGTAGCCCAGGCTGGCCCTGAAGTCAAGCCTATCTTCTTGTCTCAGTCTCCTGGATGCAAATGACTTGCTTCAGCATAGGCTCCTTCCACCACTTTCGGAACCTCTTGGCCGACTCCAGTGAAGCCCACAGTCCCTTCTAGACCTGGGCTGTTCTGTTCCTGCTGGGCACATGTAGCAGTGAAGGAGTCAATCACTGTTGGCCAGATGCACATTCGCTCTTAGTATGGGGACATACTGACTTAGTCTTTTTAATATAAAAGTGTAAAATAGGTTGAGCATGGTGGTACACACATTTAATCCAAGCATTTAGGAGGCAGAGGCAGGTGAATCTCTGTGAGTTTAAGGCCAACCTGGTCCACATAGCTCCAGGGATACACAGTAAGACTCTGTGTCCAGGAAAAAAAAATAAAGGTAACTCATCTAAAAAAATTGTGTAGTGAATATATGTTAAAATACATTAACTATCAAATAATATAAAATTAGTGAATGTGAAACACATACTCTCAGTATAAATCTATTTTTACCTTTTAAAATGTTGCCACTAGAAAGCTCAGTTTGCAGACCTGGGGCACGTTTTATCTCTTGGTCACCTTGATTCAGAGCTGTGGTTGGCTGCAGCTGCTGGGGTGACCAGCCCACCCACACTGCCAAAGGCTCTAGCGATCGTGCTCATTGTATTCCACAGGCTGTACATGAGTCTCTAGGCTCCAGGACTTTGGTATTTGGGAGACAGTCTCTGCATTTCCAAGAAGATAAAGAGCTCTGAAACTTCCCGGCCACTGCTGTGTTAACTTTCTTGTTGCTGACAAACAGCTTAGCTCACAGCTTCAGTCCATCTGTCAGCCAGAGGGAAGGGGGAGGAGGGACAAGGAGAAAGAGAGGGACTGATACCTGAGCCAGCCGGCCCTTTTCCCTCTTCTCTCTGGGCCCCAAGCCTATGAGATATTGTTGCCCAGAGTCAGGATGAGGCAGTCGGCTGCAGAAATGAAGTGCTGTGAGGTAGATTCCTGATGTCCCCAAGTCCTGAGGACTCTTTCTGAAAGCCAGGTTCCCTTCCATTGGGCAAGGTCGGGCCTGCATCTCTTCCTCTTTACAATTCTTCTGAGCACCTTCATTGGCTTTTGCTCCCTGCCCCTGGAGGGGGCTGGAGCCACCGGAAGTACTTCAGGGTGATGGGGATGATCTTAAACCATCGCTCCAGAACAACCAGCCTCCACTCGCTGAGTTCTCAGGCTCATTGTCCCGTGGTTTAGCATGGTAAGTGGGGTGGGTGGGGGAGGGGAGAGCAGTGGCCTTAGGAACCAGGGAGATGGTCTCAACAGAGGACACCCTTTTGGTTCAAGTGGATAAGACTCCCAGGATGGCTTTATGGTCCTTTGATTCTTGTTCTAGATAAAGCAGACACAGGTATGAGGGACTTTCCCTACTCAGTGTCCCGGCTTCAGGTTCTGTCCCTTAGCTCAGCTTGGAGAGAGGCTGTTGTATCTTATTGCCAAGGATGTCCCCACCCAGTGCCCAATGCCATTTCTGTTCCTTCTCTTGATTCTGGAATGGCCAATAGGATGTGGTGGGAGTGGCGTTAAGTGATTTCCAAAGCCGGGTCAAAACCAGGTTTGCCTGTTGTTTGGATCCAAACGGCTCCCTCGGGAGAGGGGGTGAGAAGGCTTCTTTAATAATGGGGAAGGCCTTATATACCATCCTCCCAGCACCCAGTCTGTGTCACAATCTTGTGACATTGCATGGTCGTCCCTCATTGGCTGAGCACGATCAGGAACTCTGACAGCTCCTATTGCTAGGCCTTTAGGCAGACTCCAGGTTGGCTCATAAGGAAGTACGTTATGTGCATGCCTTAGCAACCAGTCTGAGCCTATTTCCTCGACCCTATGGGCCTGTCCTACTACAGTATCTGTCTTGGCCTTCTGGAATAGTCTCTGAGAATGGGAGCCACCACACTGCAGAGACCAGCACCTATGTGCCAGTGAATAGACCTCTGTGCCAGCTACCTCACCATCTGTCTTGCATGCCCCAGACCAACCCACAGATAGACCAGCTGAATGTCATCAAGTGTCTCCAGCCACTGCCACATGGGCAGAAGGAATTTTGAGCACAAAACCATGAGGTGTGGTAGAATAATCTTGAGCCATGAAGTTTTGTGACAGTCTGTTACAGAGCAGTAGAAAACAGAACTGTGGTGGTCTCTATAGTCCCAGTTATGCTAAAGGCTCCGCAGGAGGACTGACTGAGTCCTACCGGGGCAACACAGTGAGCTCTAATCTAAAACAAAAGAAAAGGAAAAGGAGGGGAGGGGAGGAAGAGGCAGGGCAGGGGAGGAGGGGAGAGGACAGAGAAAAGTAGAGGAAAAGGGGACAGCAGGGAAGAAAAATCAAACATGAACTAGAGCAGAGCCCCAGCCTTGCCCAGAAGATGTGGGATAAATAGGCCGCTCCTTGCAGACCCACAATTCTGCTTCTCTCAAGAGATCCAGCTGGTGAGCCTGCTCTGAGCACACAGAGACTAGTCTGTCCCCGTGACCTCCAGGCCAGACACACGCCCCTCGGAAGAACCCACAGACTGCTGAGGGCTGGCCTGGAGCCCCTTGTGGGCAGGACCGGCAGGCCTCTTTGGTTCCAAACATTTTGTTCTCTCTTCCTCTCGTTCACAAGATACTGAAACCCAGGCTCCACTTCAGGCCTGGATGTAACCATGGACGTCAGGACCCTCCCCACTCAGCACCCCGCCAGGTTTACTTTCTGTGTCTGAGCTGCGGTGGAGAGGTCAGTTTCAGAAGCAGCAGCTAAGACCCCGAAGGAAACAACGGCTTTTGGGAGGTTCTGAAGGAAGGGAGGGATTTTCTCTTCCGAAATGAGCAGCAACACATGCACAGTGGGGCTTGGGGTTTATGGTCTGAGGCTCTGTTGGTTCTCCATGGGCTATGAAGACAGGGCAGCTTTGGGAGACAGGACGAGGCCACGGAGGTGTAGCACCCACGATACTACCCATTCACCATGTCTGAGCGAGGGGCTGAGGATTAAAATCAGAGACAAGACAGCGGGTCATTGGTCTCAGTAGAATGCCGTTTATTGAAGGAGGGAGGAGGCCTTAAATACAGGCTTACAGCACAGTGGGAGAACCCCGGAGGGCAGAAGTTCGCTACAGATGTTTTACATCCTTGCTTTCTAGCTGTTTACACCAAATGCAGGATACACAAACAAGGAACCAGTAGGCTGTTCAGGAGGAAGGAAACGGCAGGGAATCAGCATAGGGAGGACATCTGATCAAGGTCAGCAAGAAAGGCAACAGCCACCCAAGGAATGGAGGGTGGGGTGGGGGGGTGGGGAGGCTGGGGGGGGTCAGGGCCCAACACGGAGGCTTCCAGGTGGGATTGCTATCCCCTCCCCCACTGGCCCAGCATAAGGAGTGGGCGAATGGACCAGGTGCAGACCCTTGGCTGGCGGCAGGAGGCTCAGGCCTCAGCTTGCCTTTGGGTCGTTCTCATTCTAGTGGAGGAGAGATGAGCAGACTGGAAATGAGCCCCGTGGGTCACAGGGATAGGTGTCTGCGGAAACGCAGACCAGGAGAGACCCCTTCCCCCAGGCAGCAGTCCTCACCACTGCTCACCCAAATAGCATCTCACCTGCTCTTCCCAGGAGGCCTGTGGTGATGGAGACTGGTCCGTACACTCATTTTTTGGAGGATACATACGCAGAAGAGGTAAGTTCCTGAGGACCGGCTTGCTAGAATAGGTGTGAGGACTGAGGTGGGCCTTGACCACACAGCCCCCACCTCTTGATTCTCATGGTATTCTGTCATCCCCATGAGAGAAGGCCACACTGGGAAGCTGAGCGTGGGAATGGGGCTGGAAGGTGTAGGGCTGGCTGCTGCGATCTGAGTATAGGGATGGGGAAATGACACTCGTGTGTGTGTGTGTGTGTGTGTGTGTGTGTGTGTGTGTGTGTGTGTCTGTCTGTCTGTCTGTCTGTCTGTCTGTCTATCAGGCTTCAGGGTCAACATGTGTTACGTATCTGCTCTTCCTAACACTGACAAGACTTTGTGCCCCAGCCTGGACAGGAAGCCTCTACAGGGTCAGCCACCACTAGGCCGAGATTTCAGAGTCACACAAAAGGGTCCAGGTTATGTCTGGGCCCCTGTACTGCTGTGTTCTGAACAAGCCAGGGAAGTGAGCTGCTGACCCAGCAGTCTGTGGGGTGTTCGCAGGCCTCTGAACTGGGCACACGGGGGGGGGGGAGCCCTTGTTGGGACATTTTAGAGAGAGGGCAGGCATCCCTGACCTCCAGTGAGCTGGGGTTCTGTGCTCTCGCAGGGAGCTGACCTCCCCCTTCCTTCCGTCAGTCTCACCAGCAGCGGACTGTCCTGGAAAAAGCAGATTGGCGCCCCTCTTCCTCTGCTCCCCATGCGCTCGGCCAGGGCAGGCCTGAAGGACACCCCCTCCCCCCTCCTTGGCAGCTGTGGGCAGAGCTCATTTGAACAATTGCCTGAGCCAGAAGGAACATTTGAGTCATTAATTTCCTGCTCTCTGGGAAGGGCTGGGGAAGGCTGGGCCTCTGAGCCCATTTGTCTTCACACTCGGGACTCAGTCTCAGGGAGAGCCAGAAAAGCCCTTCCAGGCTTCAGAGACTTAATCCAGGCACCATTCACCTGGCTGGTCTGCAGGACAGAAGTTAAGTGGTGGCACCAGGTCATTAAAAGGCTCTAAGTGGGAGCTGGCAGCTGGCTTCTGTCTGAGCATCGCTCACTTTGAGAGGGATTTCGAGCCTCAGTCTCTTATTCATCAGACACACATTGCTACAGGTTTTTGGTTTTTGTTTTTTCTTGTTGTCATAGATGTATTTCTTAAAGCAGGGCTAACCTGCTCTCCCACCGAAGCCTGGCTCTGACTGAGGCTGGCTCTTCTGGAGTTCTCCTTGAGACAGCATCCCTTCCCTGACAGACACAACTCTGCTGGATTTCTGTGGGATCTGTGTGGCTGCAGATGTGAGGCCAACCCATGCGCCTTTTCCTCAGAGAGGCTGAGCCTGCAAGAAGACACAGGCTGAACTTACTTCCTGCCCCTCCCCTTCCCTAAAAAAAGACCCAAAAAACCAAAAAAAAACGGTTCTCCCTTGAAGAGTTCAATTCCGTAGTTTTCAGTCTATATACAGAGCCTTATAACCATTGTCCTCATCTAATTATACAACATTTATTACCCTGAACCCCCCCCCACACACACACACACATTGTCCCCTCCTCTGCACCAAGGTAGATATGCCTAGTCTGAGGCCTCCTCCCGAGCAGGGTTCTGTGTCACACCTGTCCTGGGGGAAGCTCCACCTCAACTTCCCTCCTGTCAACATTCTGACCCGCCCCTTGGAGCCACCCAGTGTTCTGACGTAGAAGCCTCTTTTGAAGGAAAAACTCAGTCCCTTTCTCTTTCTCTCTCCCTCCACTCCCACGAGGTGTGCACCCTCGACCTCCCTCTCTTTCCCACTCTCTTCTCTCCCTCTTTTTTATCTTCTCTTCATCTCTATTCTAATAAACCATTTCCACGGTGATGCAGCGTCTGGGATATGTATCTCCACCCACTCCACCGCTATGCCCACATGGACTGGACCCCTCTGCCAGCCTGCTGCTGCATCTGGGGGTCCTGCTACATACAATTCCTAACATGCCCCCAATCTCTCTCTCCCCAAACCCTGCCCTGTCTCTAGTCCGCCAAACACTGTTCCTTCCCCGGAGATGCTCAGGACCACTCCCACAGGGTATTTAAACTGCACCCCAGAAAACAGACACATGGTTTTTGGTCTCTCTTCCTTCTCTCCTCTCTGGGGGTTGGAAAATCACCAGGGAGCATTTTACCCATTAAACTGAGGCTTTTTCTTAATTTGGAGTGGCATATCAGAGTGCATAAACTTTTCATCTGGAGGTCCCACCGAGGGGCTGATTTTCCCCCACCAGTTTCCCCCACCAGCCTTCTCCCCCACACCTGCTCACCGCCAGACTAAGATTGGCTTTCAGCCAGGTAAGTTGTCCTTTCCAAGTAATTGCCTTAGATGCCCAGGGCCTTCTCCAATTTGGGGGGGTGTCCTGCCAAAAAGGTGGCCACACAAGCACCTGACCCAATCTGGAGCAAAGATCCACCTTTGTTGCATGGGACCCCTTATTCAGAAGATGTTCTGCTGAAGGGAATATCCCACACACCCCCTTTTTTGACCAAAAGTCTACCACAGTGGATGTATTGCGCTAGGATTCGGGTCCCGGCATAGACTTGTGAAATGGGCACCTGCAATTCGAAGCCAGATCCACAGATGCCTTTGGGGTATCTTTTACAAAATCTGTTAAGATTGAGGCTATCTGATATCATCTGTCATGAGCAGCTGATTTCCCTGAGCACTAAGGTCTGGCCACAGTACACTCTTGATAACCCCAGTCAAGGTGGCCTCTGGAGGGAACCTTGGAATTTTCTATCCTCTGTGATCTTGAAACTTTTTGTCACTGTAGAGATAAGTGGACAGAACTGCCCTACCTCCACAATTTTTGGATTCTGTTTCCACCCTCCCCACAGGGGCCAATGTCTCACAGCACCAGTCTTGTTGGCTAGGGTCACGGCGCCTCCAGATTCCCACCTATCTGGGAACTGGGATCCTGAAAATTCTGCTCTGACCATGCTGCCAGGGACACTGGTCCCTCCCCCACTCCCCCAACCCTCTCTACCCACCCCCTCCTACGGGGCCACATGTTCCATTCAGTGGCCAGCATTTCCTCACATTCCTCCCTCTATCCACCCCTCCCCCCTTCTTCCCTGCAGGACAAAGGTCAAAGACCTAATTCCCCCTCCTTACCCACCTTCCTGTCCTTCTCTCCCCATACTGCCCCCCAATTCCTCAATGCCGAAACCTACATCCTGGTCCCCTTCTACACACTGGCCTAACACACCCTCCTAATCCTCTCTGGTCTCTTCTCCTACCTGGTCTCGCCAGACTCCTGCCATCCTCTGCCCCTTCCAAGAGGTAGTGGGAGATGATGTAATAGAGTCCACACACTCTTTTCTCTTCAGGGCCTCTCACAAAGAGAAAAGTGGTTGGGTTCCTTCTCTACTAATCCTTCTGTTTATATCAAGGAGTTTGGCTGTCTGTCCCAGACCTACAGTCTGACCTGTCATGACCTCTATGTGATCCAGGCCTCTACTCTCACTCCTGAGGAGTTCAGGCAGCAGCTAGGCAGTACGCAGACCAGACCCACCTAGTGGACAATACTGTCCCTGTGGGTGAGGGGTGGTGCCAGCTACAGAGCCCTACTGGGACTACTCACTGGGCCAGAATGGCCACCAGAGAAGGGACCTCATGGTCTGCTGCCTCCTCCAGCATATGGAAATGGTCTTAGACAAAGTTGCTAATTTTGATAAGCCCTGAGAGATCACACAGCTAGTTGATGAAAACCTGGCCATTTTTCTGAACCGATTACAGGAGACCATGGTTCAGTTTGCTCGCCTTGACCCAGCCTCCCCAGCAGGAGCCACAGTCCTGGACATCCATTTCGTTTCTCAGTCAGCGCCAGATATTAGAAAGAAATTAAAAAAGGTTGAGGAGGGTCCCCAAACTCCCCTACAGGAATTGGTAAAAATGACTTTTAAAGTTTTTAATGGCCAAGTCATCCTGACAGACAAGGCTGCAACAGAATACGCTCCAAGCCCAAGCCCTAGCAGCTGTCCTAAGGCCACCAGGGCCCCCACAATGGGACAAGGGCAATCAACCATTAGGCTCCATCCCACTGGAGCTCAGCCCAAGTCAACTCCGCCAGTAGAATGCTTCAAATGCAGCCAACAGGGCCACTGGTCATGACATTGTCCTGTCTCCTAGCTGCCCAGGAGGCCGTGTCCTGTCTGCCGACAGCCTGGACACTGGAGATCTAAATGTCCCCATGCAGGCTCATCCCCTATGCCATGCCATGGAGGTCCAGCCTCACCAACACCAGCAACTGAGACTTCAGGCCTTTGAACTCCTCAGCCTGGCAGAGAACTGACATGGCCTAGACCTGCTGACTCCCATTGCCCTCTCCGAGCCTGGGGTGATGCTGTGGATAACAGGTAAGTCAGTTGACTTTCTTCTGGACACGGGAGCTACCTATTCTGTTTTGACATCTCACTCAGGTCCCACAGTTCTCTCGCCAATTTCTGTATGGGGGTGGACGGCACCCCTTCCTTTCCACTTCAGACCCTGACACTTCCTTGAATTCTTGCAGGGCAATTCTTCTCACACCCTTTCCTAGTCATACCTGCTTGCCCTGAACCTCTGCTCAGTTGTGATATTCTCAACCACTTTGGGGCCACCCCTTAATAGCCTCTCAAGTTCCTACCCCAGACTGTCCCTACCCTCCCTTATCCAATGGATCCCCAAGTATGAGATACCTCAGCTCCAGTGGTGGCTACTCACCACCAGCCAGTTCTAATTCATCGTAAGAACCCTTCTTCCTTCCCTTCCAGACCCCAGTTCCCCATCTCTGAAACCCATCACTGAGGCCTTAAGCCTGTTATCACCCGCCTTTTATCTCAGGGACTTTTGATACCTTTCAACTCACCCTGCAACACCCCCATTCTTCCCATGAGTAAACACTCCAGGGTTTCCCATTTAGTTCAAGACCTCCACCTCATTAATGAGGCAGTTATTCCAACACACCCAGTGGTTAACAACCCTACAACCTCCTGTCTCACATTCCTCCTGCCACCCCCCACTTTACTGTTCTGGACCTGAAAGATGCCTTCTTTACTGTCCCTTTACACCCTGACTCATACTTCCTCTTTGCCTTCACCTGGGAGGACCCCAACACCTGGTCCTCCAGACACCTTACGTGGACTGTTCTCCCTTAGGGTTTTTGAGACAGCCCCCATTTCTTTGGCCAAGCCCTGGCTTGGGATCTCTCTGCCTTTGACTCTGGTGCTAGCATACTCCTCCAATTCATAGATGATCTCCTTGTCTGTAGTACCACCCTGCCTCTGTCCCAGAGGTAGTCCCTGGGATATCGTGTTTCCCCATCTAAGTCATAGCTATGCTCTCCCACTATGGTATATTTGGAGTCCCTCCAGCTCCCTGCAGAAGTAGCCATAATTCACTGGAGGGAACATCAGTCCTCCAAGGACCCAGTGACCTTAGGCAATGCCAAGGCTGACTCAGTAGCCCAGGGCCTAGCCTCCAGCTCCCCTGGACCAACAGAACATACTTGTCTTTGATACTTCCTATCAGCCCTGTTATCAACAAGAGGAGAGGGACAAACTCCTGAAAAAAGGGGCCACGCAGACAAAGGATGGATGGTTCTACTTAAATAACCACCTCATCCTCCCTCAGGACCAGGCACTGTCCATCATTTCAGACATCCACCAGACCTTACACAGGCCCCAAAGCCTTGTTCCACTTCTTAGAGCCCCTCTTTGACCCCACTCATCTTCGAGCTCATATTTCACAGGTTCACTCCTCATGCCAGACATGTGCCAAGGCCAACCCACAGGGGTCCCTCCAGATACATCAGCCTCTGCACCAGCTTTGAGGACACCAGTCAGGTGAGGATTGGCCGGTTGATTTCACTCACACACCCACCTATAAAAAACTCTATTACCTCCTAACATGGTTGACACCGTCACAGGATAGATAGAAGCCTTTCCCACCTCCAGGGAAACAGCAGATGTGGTGGCCCAAGTACTCCCGGACCACATCATCCCTAGATTTGGCCTGCCCCAGACCATACCATAGCTGGAAGGTTTCTCCAGTCTTGCCCAGCCCCAAGGTCCCACAGCCGCTTATAAAACAATCATTCAGAGGCTTATATTAATTACCAATTGCATGGCCTATGGCAGGCTTTTTGCTAGCTAGCTCTTATAACTTGACCCATTTCTATTAACCTATATGTTGCCACATGGCCGTGGCTTACCTGTACTTTCACATCAGCCTAGCCTTCACTTCCAGGGTCAGGAAGCTCATGTGGGAAGTTCTCAACATTTTCTGGAAGCTCCACATTCCCTATCTCTCACAGTCCTCGGGAAGAGAGAGGAGAGAGCCAATGGACTCATCAAACAACAGCTCACCAAGCTCTCCATTGAACTCAGGACCCTACACCATGATTCTCACCACCCCGTGGCTGCCAAGCTCCTAGTTTGCACCGCCTCTCCAGGCTCAAGCGGGCACCTGTTCACGACACATGCAATTTACCATCTCTGCTTCCTCAAGAAACAGGTGCCTGAGGTCTCCAGGATGGCAGTTAACCTGATGCTCCTCCACTCACACCTCCTGCTGAGTGTGAGCCCACCAACTCCCGACTCCCTACTTCCCTACATCACCCCATGCCCACAGGAAGCAGCCAGACATGAACTGGCACCAATATCCCAAAGATCTAGAATGTTCTGGGGGAAGCTCCGCCTCAGCCCCTGGCACCCATATACCCAAAGAGTCTGGAATGTTCTGGTGGAAGCTCCACCTTAACTCCCCTCCCCATCTCTCTCCCCCCCACAAACACTGCCCTGTCTCCAGCCCGCCAAATACTGCTCCTCCCCCAGAAATGCTCAAGATCACTCCTACAGGGTATTTAAACTGTACCCCAGAAAACAGACATGTGCTTTTTTGGTATCTCTTCCCTGTTTCCTCTCTGAGGACTGAAAAATCACCAGGGAACGTTTTACCCATTATACTGGGGCTTTTTCATAATTTGGTTTGATCATACCTCTGCTTTCTTTCTCTACCTAGAGTAGGGAGGGAGGAGAGGGACAACCCTGAACCTGAGTTGTGGAACCCATGAGGGGCCCCTGAACTGGGTGGGTAAGCTTGGGATAGGCAGTATCAAGTGTGTATGCTCTGCACCCTTCCAGACCCTGGTGGTCAGTTTCAAAGTTTCTTTCCCAGCCAGCTCTCCGTGTTGTTCTCGGAACTTTGATAAAACCTGTTCAACATGGCAGCCTTAAGTTGTCATGTGATTATGAGTGTGACCCCCCCCCCCTTCTGTAGTGAAGTGGGACAGGGGAAAGGTGATATAGTCACCAGTTCCACTTTAAGCTTTTAGCTCCAGACCTAGGGGTCTTGAAGATGTGCTGCTTTCCATTGGCTTAGCAGTTGTACCTGAATCTACTGATATTTTAACTACCGTCTGCGACGCTGTGGCCCTGCAGTCAGTACCCCACTGCTCAGTCCATGGCCTGGTGGGATCTAGGGTCTCCTGACACTGGCTCGGCTGTGGCCACCAGATGTAGATTTTTAACTAAGTCTGTAGTTCTATTTACCAATAAAGACTTGGAAGTCTGATGGTGAATGAAAACCTGCTAGCTCAGAGAGGCTGAGAAGCAACCAGCTCACTTTCCTTTTTAGCTGGAGACCCAGCAAGAGAGTGTCTCTCCCAAACCAAAAATGACAGTGAAACTCCAAGTCCCTCCCTACTCCTACCTGTGTGTCTCTCTATCCGACTTCCTGGCCCCTTCGTACTCTCTATGGTTAATTCCTGTCAGCTAGTTGTTGGCTCCACCCCCTGATCCAAGGTTGATTTTATTAACATAGTTTCAGGTTTCACAGTGTGATTAAATATCCTGCAATAAAGATGCTCCTCAGTCATTCCACATTGCATCTGTGGACTGACTGCTTACAATGTGTCTTCAGTAAGGCGAGTTCTTGCATTTTGGGCATTGCTCAGAAGAGGAGGAGGCATTCAGGAGACAGAAATGCAGGCTTCTTGAGAGCTGCTGACCTCAAGGTCCCCAGCCACTGCTTTTGGGGAAGCTTTTGGGAAAGCTAGGTTAGAAACTCCACCCTGGAGGCAGGAACAGACCCAACGGATAGAGGATCTGCCTGGTAGCCAGCTTCCTTGTCGTGGTGATAAAATACCCTATAAACCAGCATGAGAGAGGAAGCATTTGTTCTGGCTAATGGTTGCAGAGAATTGGGGTCGGGTTGGCTGGATCCATTGCACTGGATCTTAGGTGAGGCGGAGTATCATGGGGGCCGGAATGCGTGGCAGAGGCAGGAAGCGGAGAGTGGAAAGCATCAAGGGACAAGATGCCCTTGCAAGGCATGACCCTTGTAACCACTGCCTGCAATCAGATCCTGAAGTCCCCGTCTCTTTTGCAGATAGTGCCACCATCTCAGGACCAGGTTTTTAACTCGTGGTCCTGAAGTCTGGGGAGGCTCTGTGAGTGCTGAACTCAGATCTCACCTTGCAGCATGGCACCTGACCCAGCTGAGCCTGGAACAGAAGCTAGAAGGAGCCTCTCTGTGAAGACCATGTATCCCCTTGCCTGAGAGGAAGCAACCTCTAACCTTTTCTATGAGAGAAAAATAACAAAGTCCTTCATTGAAGCCACTGTTATTCCTAGTCTCTGTGACAAACCTAAGAACCACGTGGAGCAGCCAGTGGCTGTAGCGGGAAGGTTGTGGACTGAGGTGGATAAGACAGACACAGGCACATGTCCTTCCTTCTGTTGTCACACAGGATAGAAGTGACTTCTGTAGTTGTCTTCCCCTGGATTCTACGTTCCAGAAAGCTGAGGCTCAGGTCTTTTTATCTTTGTTCAGAAGGTACTCAGTTATTTTGACATGAACCACTTTGATCTTCTACATTTGCTAGCTCCAGGGTCTTTGGCTCTCTAAGTCTTAATTTCTTTAAAGATAGAAGTGGAGGTTATAATACCAAGGCTGTTTTCATCACATGAAACATGATATCTGGTGCTTAAGGCATTTTAGACACTCAGGAAAAGGATTTTAGAGTCTTACCCCTGTCCTTTCTAAGAAGTTCCCAGTCTCCTGCTTTCACATAAGACTGAGTCTTGACTCTGATGTGTGTATTAGTTTCCGAGGCTCCACCTAACATCCTTTGCCTTCTTTGGGTCTCGAGAACCTCACTGGACACATGTCTCTAGGTTGCTGTGTCTCAGTGATGGCTTCTTCCAGGCTGTGCCCTCGAATGCAGGGAAGTCTTCCATGCTTGGCCAGGGAGCCAGATGATTCAGGAGACAGAGAATGTGAAGTTTTCCATTCTGTTCAAGGATCTTGGTCAGAGAGTAGGAAGTCGCCTGGAAAGGCAGACCTAGTTTCCCATCCTTCCCTGGTATTTCCATGG